GCCCGACTGTCTTCAGAAAAGTTTCGATGACATTTTCATTTTTATCTGATAAAGTAGTGTTCATGAGCGGAGCTGCTTTGATTACAGCCATTATTGGAGAAACCGCTAGTTTTATCACTCTAAAAGAGCCTCCTGCTGGCAGAGAATGAATTTGCATTTTCAATAATAAGCCACTCTCCAGCAACATGTTTTTGTTGTTGCTCAATTTTTTGGTTTTCTGCAGCAACTCAGAGCACTTTTCATATTCTTTATCCTGGCTGAAGCACATTTGTTTCAATCTATAAGTATAATCAGCCTACACTACGAGTCTATAAAGTTTTTGAACTAAGATTTTTTTTTTTTAAGAATTCTCTTCTGCTCACCAAGGCTGCATTTATTTGATCCAAAGTACAGCAAAAACAGTAACATTGAATTATTTTTACTATTTAAATAAACTGCTTTCGATTTGAAAGCAGTTATTTTAAAGGGGTCCTATTATGCTCTTTTACAAAGTCTTGATTTTGTTTTGGTCCCAAACGTACACACTACACACTGCCTAAAATTAAAAAAGTGAAAAAGCATAATAGGACCCCTTTAAATCTTCAGAAATCATTCTAATATGCTGATTTGCTGATTATCAATATTTTAAAACTTAAAACTGAAAATTTATTTATTCAGGATTCTTTGATGAATAGAAAGATCCAAAGATCAGCATTTATCTGAAATAAAAAGCTTTTATAACATTATACACTATTCCATTCAAAAGCGTGGAGTCAGTATACATTTTTCTTTTTTTTGGGACAGAAATTATAGAAATTCTATTTAGCGCTGCAATTTTATTTTATTTATAATACTTTTATTTAGCAAGGATGCTTTAAATTGATCAAAAAGAAGAAAACAGTTATTTTATATAGTAAAAAAAAAATCAAAATGTTACTGTTTTTGCTGTATTTTGGATCAAATAAATGCAGGCTTAGTGAGCAGAAGAGACTTCTTTAAAAAACATTAAAAATCTTACTGTTCAAAAACTTTTGACTGGTAGTGTATGTCAGCCTATAGTTCGATATAAGGTAAACATTCATTTTTTTTTGCTGTTTTTTTCTTAAATATTATATAGTTTTATAGGAGGAGGTTTCATAGACTTGGAAGATTCATTTTCCAGAAATATTTAGGTACAGACATCTGTTGTGGGTGTTCTTGGCAGTTTTTATTTGGCTTTTTTTTTTAATTTTTTATAGTGTTCATATCGATATTGGAATTATATCATATCGACCGAAATTAAGAAATATATCGTGTTATAAATTTTGGCCATATCGTCAAGCCCTACTCCCGATCTAACCCTTTAAGTGATTTCTTTTAAGCATTAAGCTCCCATGTTAATCACAGTTACTTAAGTGTGAAAATCACCTAAACTGCATGTACATACTTTGAATGGCAGGTCTGTCTGGGCCATGTGCCATCCTCATTCTTCTTCTCTATAACAAGAACCTGAGGAGTGAGATGAGATTGATGATGTGAACTCATAAAATGTCAGTCAAGAGACTCAAACCAAGCACAACAGGAATAGAATGCAGCATGATGTTTACCTGGCCCTGAAAAAGCCCTGCGTCCTGTACGGTGCTGTCAAGCTTGTTAAGTTGTTCATAAGTGTTACTCATATATTTATTCCAAAGTCGAGTTTCCTTTTCATTTGGGATATCGAATAAAGACCTCATCTCCTTTTCAATAGTATCTAAAGGGGTGGAAAAGTAAATTTAAAAAATGATTGTTCACAAGGGCTGCACAATTTTTGTGACAAAATCAGTAATGCAAATACTATTGATGAGGAAAAATTTGTATTTTCTGGAAATCTCATACCTATAGTGTCTGCTTTGCTGAAATGGCGGGTGACAACTTTGTCCATGTTGTCATTCTCGCACAGGTTCAACTCAAGCAAATACACTTCCACTTTACAGTGCTTCACAAACATTCCATGTTCAACAACCTGCATAACAAGTTTAAAAAACACAACACATATCAAAACAAAATTAGAGACTTTTAAAGAGTCCTCACCTCAACTCAATTAATTAAACTTTAATTAACCATTTAACTGTGTAAGTTTCAATGCAATTAAAAATGACAATAATATCACCCAATGACCCTGCCTGTAATCACTCAAGTATATCAGACATGATATTTATGAAAGAAAAATGTAAACCAAGAGATTCCCACAATATGTAAAACTACAAAGAAATATACAATATACAAAGAAAGATGTGGAACCTTTCTGATGATGGGTTTCTGACCCTCCAGACAGCCATACCAGCTGACCAGCTTATTCCAGGCCTCTGTAGGCATTAAAACATAGTCTAACTCGTCTATGAGATGCTCTTTCAACGTCTGAGACTCGTGATCTATGATACAGAGAGAAAAGGGGAAATCATTAGAAAAACACATTAGAGCCCTTTAACACTATACTGTATAATCTAAAAGAATTTGCCATGCTAGGCTCAGATTTTGTGTGGTGCGCAACAACTTAAAATAGTTTTGATGGTTTTCAAATGGCAGTTTAATCGGAAAAAGCTTACTTTTAAAAATGTAAATTTCTGTCATTATTTATTCACCTTCAAGTTTTTTGACTATCTTCCAAAAAAACACAGGAGAGATACCGAAGAATGGACTTGTTGCTTTCCCCCCACCCCCCCAAGTAATTACAAAAATGGGTAACTAGGGCTGGCGATATAGCTAAAAAATGTATCAACGATATAATGTTTCATATCGTTCGGTATCAATAATTATTAATATTTTTTATAACCTTTTTTAAACCAAAAATCAATAGAAAAAATGTTTAAATGTAACCACTGTATTTATAATCAACACAATTTATTGAGACAAACAACAAATATTTTTTGTTTTAACAATCAAACACAATAAAAATTAAACAAA